TGGCGACGGCACGCCCCCCTGCACTCCGTCGGCTACACGACCCTCGTGGGCAACAACCACGAGTCCTGGGGCTGGGACTTGGGGCGCAACCGGCTCTACCACGACGGCAAAAACCAGCCGAGCAAGACTTACCCGGCCTTTCACTCCGTCGGCTACACGACCCTCGTGGGCAACAACCACGAGTCCTGGGGCTGGGACTTGGGGCGCAACCGGCTCTACCACGACGGCAAAAACCAGCCGAGCAAGACTTACCCGGCCTTTCTGGAGCCGGACGAGACGTTCATTGTCCCCGACTCTTTCCTGGTGGCCCTGGACATGGACGACGGGACCCTGAGCTTCATTGTGGACGGACAGTACATGGGCGTGGCTTTTCGGGGACTCAAAGGCAAAAAACTGTATCCTGTCGTGAGCGCCGTCTGGGGCCACTGTGAGATCCGCATGCGCTACTTGAACGGACTCGACCGTAAGTGTCTCCTGCACCCTCCCAGGCGGCCCCGCCCCCGGCCTCCTGTGTCCGTGGGATCCTGGGTGGGCCTGGCCAGGCGTCTGTGCAGTCCTTGGGGTTACAGTGTCTTTCAGTAGACACCCCAGCATCCTCAGGTCCTCAGAGGCGACGCTTGCTTGCCTCTGGTTAAATGGAAAGTTCTCGCTGGAGTCTGCCGGCCAACCTGGCAGCACCTTGTGGATGAATGAACAGGTAGTTGGATAGATAGGTGGGTGGCAGGTTTGATGGATGGATGATGGATGGATGGATGATGGATGGATGAGTAATGAATGAGTAGGTGAGTGGGTTAGTGGGTGGATGAATGAATGAATGGATGGGTGGGTGGGTGGGTGGATGGATGGTGAATAAATGAATAAATAAATGGATGGATGGTCTTCGATAGATGTAGTTAGTTGCTGGTTGGCCTGCCTTTAGAATTTGCAGTTGACCAAATTCTAGCACAGCAGCCAGCGTATTGTTGAGCTGGGGTTTGTGGCGGTGGCGGTACTAGGTCCTGTCACATAACTGTACTCACACAGTGGTAAGCCAGTGGCCGCTCTCGCTCATGAGGGTCTTTCTCTCGGTGCTGGCGGCTTCTGGGAGGCGCCTATGGACACAGTCCCCTGAGGGGGCTTGTTCAGTCATGATGTCAGGAGGCTTTGGAGAGACCGTGCATTAGAAACCCTGAGTCAGCAGCAGTGCCCACCTGTCCCTTTGGACAGAGGCGTGGCCTTCCTCAGACCGTGTGTGAGAAGAACTCTCAGGAGGTGGCACTGTCCTAGTTTGGGGGATGGAGGGCTTTGTGGCTGCCTGGCTGGGGGCCCAGGGGCGTAGGAGGTCCTGGAACTCGGGACTGTCCACCCCCACGCTTGACCCTCCCTCTCTCATGGGTCCCTTCTCCCATCTGCAGATCTCACCTTGCAAACGGGGTGGGCCAGAAAGCTTCAACCACCCATGCGCTAACCATCATTGAGGGACAGGTTTGGCCTGGTACCCCGAGATCTAACCCCCGCCGCAGATCAGATGCTGGGGGAGGCCCCAGGTGTGAGGGGCACAGATGCTGGGTGAGCCCCCAGGTGTGAGGGGCACAGATGCTGGGTGAGCCCCCAGGTGTGAGGGGCACAGATGCTGGGTGAGCCCCCAGGTGTGAGGGGCACAGATGCTGGGTGAGCCCCCAGGTGTGAGGGGCACAGATGCTGGGTGAGCCCCCAGGTGTGAGGGGCACAGATGCTGGGTGAGCCCCCAGGTGTGAGGGGCACAGATGCTGGGTGAGCCCCCAGGTGTGAGGGGCACAGATGCTGGGTGAGCCCCCAGGTGTGAGGGGCACAGATGCTGGGTGAGCCCCCAGGTGTGAGGGGCACAGATGCTGGGTGAGCCCCCAGGTGTGAGGGGCACAGATGCTGGGTGAGCCCCCAGGTGTGAGGGGCACAGATGCTGGGTGAGCCCCCAGGTGTGAGGGGCACAGATGCTGGGTGAGCCCCCAGGTGTGAGGGGCACAGATGCTGGGTGAGCCCCCAGGTGTGAGGGGCACAGATGCTGGGTGAGCCCCCAGGTGTGAGGGGCACAGATGCTGGGTGAGGCCCCAGGTCTGAGGGGCACAGGTGCTGGGTGAGGCCCCAGGTTCAGGGGCACAGACGCTGGCTCTGGTCTTGCAGTCTCCACGCCTTCAGGTCTGAGGGGAGGCGGGGAATGCACTGGGGAGTGGGTTGCGGAGACCTGCTGTGTGAGCTGGGCCCTGGTGGAGACCGGCAGTGCCCATGGCCTAACCCACCTCTTGGTTAATGATGAGCTCCCCCGCCCTCCACACCGGTCATCACGCCAGACACTCCCAGTCCTGGTCAGACATGAGTGGCCCCGCTCTGCACAGTGTAGACTTTGGAGGATCCAGATGAGGAAAAACGTGAGGGCGTTGCGGCGTCCTCCGCCGCTGCACCTGTGGGGGGAGGATGGGGTGACCGTGCTAGAGCTGCCAGCCTGCCTGCTTACTGACACCTGGGTTCTGCGTTAAGAGAGCAGCTCGTCCTAGCAGAGTGGCCGCTGGGAGGCGGGGGGGCCGTCCAGGGGAGAGGCGATGGGGCTCGAGCTCCCTCGCCATGTCCAGGTGGCTCTGTAAGTCTGGAGACAGGGTCTGGGACAGTGGTCAGTGGGGAGTCGCCTATGGCTGGGTGGTGTTTAGAGCTGTGACCACTGCCTGGGATCCCCTCGGGGGGAGGGGAAGAGGGGAGGGCTGAGGCCGAGCACTGGGGCACGTCAGTGCTTTGAGGTCCAGTGGACGAGGGGCTGGAGGGGAGAGAGGTGTCCTGGATGCCAAGCAAAGAAGGGACTTCGAGAAGGACAGAGTGATGCCAGGTCGAGTGTGCTGACGGCTGAGAACTGTCCATCAACTTTGGCAACAGGGTGATCACTGGAGGCCTTGATAAGAGTCACCTGGGTGGGGGAGGGGGAGTCGAAAGCCTGACTGAGCTGCTGGTTCAGAGCAGAGAGGGGCTGGAAGTGGGGGGGCGGGGTGTTCGTTTCCTGGGGCGCCTGGAACTAATGACCACCAGCTGGGCGGCTTAAACACTGGAAATGCATTCCCTCCCGTTCTGGAGGCCAGGTGTTGGCAGACCAGTTCCTTCTGGGGAGACGATCCATGCCCCCTCCTGCTTCTGCTGGCTGCCAGCACTCCTTGGCTTGTAGACCCATCACTCCTTCCCAGCCTCCTTAGTCGCAGGCCTTCTCCTCTGAGCCTCTCCTCTTCTTATAAGGACACCAGCCATGGGATTCAGGGTCAGCCTGCTCCCGTGTGACCTCATCTTAACTAAGGACACAAAGATCCTCTTTCCAATAGGGTCACATTCTGAGGTCCCAGATGGCCCTGAATTTGGGGGGAGGCACTAGCCCACCGTCTGCAGATGTGGAGACAGCGAATCTAGACCATTCCTACAAGGCCTTCTCCTTCTTATGCCACTGCCTGGAGGGAGGTGAAACTGCCCGGGGCTCAGAGGGTGGGGTGCCCATCAGGTGAGGTCACAGGGTGCCTGAGTCCCCTCCCAGGAAGGAGGAATGTCGCAGCCAGATTGGATCTGTGGTCCCCCAGGGAGCAGGGTGTGCCAGGTAGAAGCTCTGGTCAGGCCTGGACTGGGCTTTGCTCTCAAAGCCGTGGAGGTGGTCCTTCCTGATCCATTACTGCTCCCTGGGACACCTGGGAACTCGTCCGCACCCCCCTTCCCCGCCTCACCCCTCCCAGCCGCCAGGTCCTCCCCCCAGCAGGGAGCAGCTGTGTGCAGAGCAGGTCGGCCAAAGTCACCGTGTGCGCACCCTCCCCTGCACACACCATGCGGACCCTCCCCAGCAGAGTCACTGCCCTGCGCTGGGCCAAAGGTAGCAAGTAATCAGTGTGTCCCTGTGTGACCTTCCCCACCCCCATCCGGGCAGCTCTGACCGCAGGCCGCTGGCTCTGACTCCTCCTCGGGGCTTGAGACCCCCAGGGCTGAGGTTGTGACCAAAGGGGCTGGGTGTCACTTGCTCTCTCCTGGGAAGAGGGGTGGAGATGGCCATGGTGGTGGGGCGACTGAGCCCTGCTCGGGCCCAGCACTGCCTGCCACCCTCCCTGCAGAGGCAGAAGGAAAAGGCCTATTTGCAAGCAGCAGACCACTGTCACCCAAGGGGGAGTCCCTGGCCCGAGAGTCCCCTCTGCCCGCCCTGGGAGCAGACGCCTCCACTACGGAGGCATTTTCCGTGAATTAGACACTTTCAGGTTCTCCCTTTTACGTCTCCCAGGTCAGCGTGGTGCTGTTTGGTGTGATTGTCAGTTCAGCCGGGACTCAGCTCATTTCTCCGGGAGCCTTTCGCCTGGGGGACCTCCTCCTGTTTCCTCCTGGTGCCTCCCCCGATGGGGGGCCCTTCCTGAACCCCCATTCCAGCTGGGTCTAGGGACGATCCTCTCTGGGGGGGACTGACCACCCCGCCCTGCAGGGGCTTCTTCTGGGGAAAAAAGCCGGTAAGGGACAGGGATGTTCCAGACGCCCTGCCTCCCCCGAAGGGCTGGCCATGCAGGGACAGTGGGCTCTCAGAGTCAAGGGGCAGGGGCCCAGGGTGCCCACGTTACCCGGCCAGGTGCCAGGCGTCCTCCCCAGTTGGCAACGACGAGGGGTTCGTGTTGCGTTTTGCTGCTTTTTTGTAAGAACTGCATGTAAGGGGATGTGCACACATATCCCGGGAGGGCAGTCCCACCACGCGTTCTAGAATCCATCTCACAGAGCATTTTCCCTGCCGCTGCTGCCAGGAGTGAGGCCAGGCCCGTGACGGGAGCGGAGAAGGTGAGGGTGGGGATGTCGCCGAATCCGGGCACTTCCAAAGCTCATCATTTAGCCATGAACTAGACACAGCGTGGGCTCTGGGGCACAAGTTGTGTTGCAATCTCCTTGGATTTAGAGAGCCGCGGGCTGCGGTGTGGGGCCGAGCATGGTCCCACAGGCCCCCAGGTAACCGCTTCTCCGAGAAACGAGGAAGTTGGCCCATGGACGCCCCAGTTCCTCAACCTTCTGCTCCCATAAATAGCGCCTGATTCACTTCCTGATTCCTGAGCTGCGTCCTGGCGCCCACCCCCCTCTCATTCATATAAACTATGCAAATGAGCGAGCCGCCCGTTTCCGGAGATGGCACAGTGGCAGGGACTCACCAATAGCTCTGCCTCCTCTGTTTGGGAACTTCCCCAGTGGAACCCAGTGGGCACCCAGCTTTGTGGGTGGAGCTGGGTACAGAGCCGACAGCCCCCAGGGAGAAGTATTGGGGGTGGGGGGCTTCTTGGGTCCTGTTAGCAACCAACCCAAACGCGTGGGACAGACATTTTCCATAGCACAGTGCCCACGTCTGTTTCTGTGGCTGGCGCATTCTCGGCCTTTGAAAAGCAACCAGACCATGCCCCGTGCCTCACTGTTTGTCTCCTTCCTGCGAGATCGGCCGGAGAGGGTGACCTCTTTGTGTACTTGAGGCCCCGGGACTAGCCCCATGCATGGGACGCCTGGGTGATGGGTCCTATTTTCAGCTCATAACGCATCCCAGAAGCCGTCAGCTGCCACTCCTGCAGCCCATCGTGGAAGAGGTGGCATGTCTGAAGGACACTCGCTTCTGGTCGCACGAACCCTCCCTAACTGGGCTATTCAGTGTGGCCCAAAGGTGGTCAGGCAGGGGAAGCACCCCCCGCCCCCACACACACACCCACAGCTGCTTTTGGAGGGAGCCGTCGGGCCTTGCCCCTTTGGGTGAGCTGCAAAGAGCTGCTGGGAGCTTTCGTTCACGTTGGTGCAGAG